CGTACACCCTCATCAATCTCTACAATCTAAGGTCAGCGAACATGAATTATTCACACTTCACATTCAGTCTTCATCACCAAGTAACACAGAAAGATCAAATGCACCAGTAAACGAAATGACCTGTTCATCATTGAAGAAGCTGGCATCGAGTAAACCTAATGAATGTCTGAGGCAAGAAACATCAGTATCCTTCCCTTTACCTTGGCATTTGTTCTTATGATCCTGATTGATCACACAAGGAAAGAATATCAAAACATATGTAATTCATCCAAGTATTAGACTACAATTCTTATTTTTCATTTCTGAACTTACGGCACCATCTCAATACTATAGCTGGCTCCGTGGTTCGTAATATTACTAATTAAAAGCATCATTAAAGCTAATGTTGGATGAAAAAGGGCAGAACCCACTGTAATAGTAGCACTATTTAGTACGGAAACCGAAGTGCTTTGAGACTAACCTGAACTATCTCACAGAACATTTTCCATATTCTTTTAAAGTTTCTCATTTGTGGCACATTTTGTCAAGACTACAAAGAAACATAGCTTCTTCTCCAAATAGAAATAGTTGCAGAAGAAGGAAAAGCAGACTACTTCCAAAAATAAATCCCATTTCAGGGCATTAAGCGTAGTCAACTGTAACTAACTCCAATCTGACGGAAATAAGAACATTCCACAGAAATGCAGGTAGAGACAATCAATAATTCTTTTTTTTTTTTTTCCTTCACAAGAAGTCTTTCAAGTTTTTACCATTATCGGAGAAGAGCGAGAAAATAAAAATTGGATTCGTCGGATAAAAAAGAGGAAAACAGAAATAATAATACTGCCATGGTTGTGGCGGTTGCGTTGGTAGGTGGATGATGAGGTGGCGGGCGAAGAGGGCAGAAGGAGGCATCAGAATACAGAAGAAGAACATGGCAACATAGCAAGGCAACAACGAACTGGACGGCGGGCGTGGCGACGCCGCCACGTGTCAGGCGTGGAAGTTGAGGAGGAGGACACTTGTCTCGCGGCATGGCTTCTTCCTCGTTCGATCGGTTTCAGACACGGAAGCCCTGGGGATTCGAACCCACTAATTGCTTTAAAGTTTAAACCCTCATAGTTGACTCCTTCGTCCTTTAGTCAACCACCCCAGCTTGATTCTTCGCTACATGAGCGATCTTACAAGGATGACACCTCGATGTTCAAGGACAAACACAATCTGATTTCTATCTGGGAGCAGAATACAAAATAAATTTATTTAAAAAATTTTGTTTCAACTTATATAAAATGTGTTTATAAATTATTTCTATCGTTTTGCCAAACAGGGTTGTTGTTGCCGATTTTTGTGCATATACTCTGTTAATCCTTTCTTTTCCCTCTTACTTGTAATAAATAAATTTAATTAATTTTCTGAACTTTTTTAAAAAAAATCTTAAAATATGAGTGTTGAATTTCAAAATTCTAAATCATTACTATATCTGTAAAAAAAATAATTACACTCAAAAAACAAATAATAACACATTTTTTAATTTTTGAAAATTTTAAAATTCAACTGTCTTTTTTTTCCCTAACCGTTATGAATTGGTTTGTTAAATTTTATGTTTAGAAGTGAAAGGATTAACACTTTTATACAAATTTATCTCAGCATATACTACCTCCTATCCTAATTACAAGACCTTATTTGTAAATTATGAACGATGTCTTATAATTAGAACCGAATGAAGTAGCATCTTTGCTATTGTTTTTTTTTTTAGGATATCGCTCAAAAAAACCGTAGAACTCTTGCTCGGAAGGATTAACTGCTTCTTCATTTTTTGACAAGTCCTGAATATATGACAGCCCTAGTTTAAGGAAAAACAGATCCTGAAATTTCAATCTCGTGTCATAGTTTTATTTTTTAGGCTTTTGTCTTCTCTCGTACCGGAAAACAAAACTATGTCTAAGAGTATATCCTGTCGTGGTGGAGAAATTGGCTGCACGGTTCTGCTGTAAGTATCTAACCAACATCCTGTTTGGGGGAAAAACCAACATCCTTTTGCTTTGTACTGTGCATTCGGTGACCAAGTTTTTTTTTGGCATGAAAATAAGTGTTCTAGGAAAAATAACTACAAAATATTCATTCAATTTCAAAATAATAAATAGATTATGCTGATTATTGTTATAAGGGTTGCTTCCTAAAAACTCGAGTCTATAATATCTCACTTTTATCTTTAAAGATTTTAGTATGGATCATCTAATTTAGATGTGAAGAAAAATAGAGAAAAGCTTATCATCTGAATAGAGAAGAAAAATAGATTTTAGTATGGATTATCTTTAAAGATTTTAGTATGGATCATCTAAATAATTAAACTGGCTGCCTCCCATTGAGCTCCCTTTGGGATCATCATCTTCTACAACATGGGACAGCTGTTCTCACTTAGCTCAAGCAATTTGTCTATTTGGTTATATATAAACAGAATTTATTAGTACTGAAAATTAAAAAAAATCATTTAATATAATTCTTAATTTACTACATGGATACTAGATATGAGCATATTTCTTCTCAGGAATTCAAACTGTAGTAATTGATCGTGTCGTGAAGGACTAATCATTTGTCTGAGATTCAACCCTGTAGGTAATTCTTGTTAGGTTCTAAATGAAGTAGAGGTCATAACTTAAGGTTAAAAAAAAAAACAAGGGCTCATAGCTTATTTTATTCCTGGGAGAAATGCTAATTGACATGCACAGACAAGGAGAATTAATTAATTAATTAATTTCACCAACTGTTCAGCTTAAACGACACCCGAGTGCTTCGCAATAATCCTGTAAATACACAGACAAGAAGAACAAATAAAAAATTAATTTCACTTACTATCATATTCAGCTTAAATGACATCGCCACTGTCCTGTAAATTGATTTTTTATTGATACTCCTAACCTGCTCAGTGTGAACGTTCTTCCCATTCCCACATTTGAACATTGCGCAGGAACCTAAAGTCCTAACTAATCTCAAAACTGTTTGATTAATTATTAATTTCTAATATTAACAGGTGATTAAGAACTTCCATGCATACAAGCCACTTGATTGTTATATATATACTACCTCCGGTCCTTAATATAAGACCCCGTTTGACTTTTAGTTTGATCCTAATTATAAGACCCCAATCCATTTTGTCTCTCATATTTATGCATTTTTTTTCAAGATAATCCTTCTAATAATGATAGTTCTAGCCAATACACTTAATTAGCAAGGATATTTTAGGAATGACAACACTTATTTATTACAAAAAACTAACCTAACTTACTTCCTTAATCTCTTCAAATTAGTCAACTGGGTTTTATAATTAGGACCGGAGGTAGTATTAAGAAAGATGATTATGATGTTTTAGGAAAAACGCATCATATTTCTCATAATTAACTAACCTACCTAACTTTCTTAATGTAATCAAATTAGTTAGATAGGTCTTATATTAAAGACCAGAGGAGTAGTATATATATAATTCATTAATAATTAATAATTAATCATTAAATACCTTTTCCGTGCCCATAGAGAAGAAAGTGATTGTTATAATAATAGGGCCGTGTTGATGCCGCCGTTGAATATCTAATCCATTAGGTTTAGGATTAGAGGAAGAAGCAGCTTGTTTTGTTTGGTTTGGGAAATATGATAACATTCCAGTGTTTTGTTTTTTTCTAAGCTTATCTCTCCCCATCCTCAATTTGTCATTCGCTCATTGATAGCTTCTAGACGACAGCTTCCTGAGCCTATTTTTATCGTTAGGTATTGAAATTTAATACTTTCCGATTTTTTTTTTTAAATGAAAGATGGAAAGAACCACGCAAATTATATATCGGCTTTAATTAATAATTATGTGAAAATGATGCCTTTGATTCTTAATCTCTCCAGTCCACGCCGCCTGAGAGATGAGCTTCTGCCAATACGTCATCAAGGACTTGTAAACACATTTATATTGCCTAGTCAATAACTACCCTTTAGTTATATGATTAACAATTTCATCCTCACTTCACTTGTTCCCCGTTGTATTGCAGTTTCACTAATTTTTATATGTTTCTTTTATATTTATGTCCTGCGTCGGAATTGGGATTAACATACACCCAACAAAAAAAAACACACACACACACACACTTTTTAAAACTGTACTATTAGCATGGATAGAGGAGTTGAATTATTATTTTGAAAAGGATTGAAGTTTAATTTTGTTGTTGAATATTTTTCAAACCCACTGCGCACTCTAAAATTAATGATAATGCAATGTTCGTCCCTCATGTATTAAAAGAAGTATAGGCGGAATTTGACTTATATCCTTTTAACTGTATTTTTTTTTTTTTAGTTGTTCCATCTTAGTGTAATAAAAAAAAATTTGGGGTAATTTTTCTATAATTTTGAAAGTGAAAATATAACTAATAGAAATTCTGGCATGCGTTGAAAGAGTCAAAGGTTTAGGAAGCATCCTGATCAGCATCACAGGTTCCTTTCCAAGAAGAAGTGGCAGGGTTGGTGTGTAAATTATATGGGCGCGTGATGATTTGTTACAGTCGTGGCCGTCAAAGTCAAACACCACATTGCCGTGTCCCATTCTATCTCTTTCTTTCTTTCTGAATTAAAAAACATGACAGGATAACCTTTTTGTTAAGAAATATCCAAAATTTTATAATTTTAGATTATGACAAATTAAAAAATAATTTTTATTTTAATTTCACCTGATTTATTTTTTAACTATAATTCTAATTAATCTAGTAATCTTTTTATATTAAAATATTTTTATCAAATTTCTCAAATATTTTGAACTCAATTAAATTAGACTATTGATGGTCTGCGTATATTATTGTAACCTTTTGCCAATAAATTTTGCATTACACATATCGATATGCCGTGTATATATAATTTTTTTAAATAAAATTTAGGTCGTTATCCAGTTTTTCGGAAAAATGAAAGGCCACCTAACCTAACCCGATCATAATCACTAATCAGTATATAAGACATTGTTACGTACTAAACTCCATTTCCATCTTCCTCAGAATATTCTGATCTCATAAATTTCCCTGTCCGAATTAATCCATTAATTAATTCCTCAGCTCGAAGAAGGAGAAAGAAGGCAAAAATGGAGGGTCTTCTGCCTTTAGTTTACAGGGCAGTGAAGAAAAGTCGAACTCGCCGGGAATACCAGCGTCTCCGATCAGTATCTACTCCTCTCATCAACATGGCCGAGATCCATTCTCGCAGTTCCGAGAGTCATCTTTATCAGTTTCAGACGCCGGATTCAACCCAGACGGTGTCTGAGCTTTATGCAGACAGCCGCAAGAATCATCATCACCGGCGGCACAAATCGATCGGAGATTTTACTTCCGGTGGGTTCTCGTCTTCTCAGCGGCACACAACCAGTGCTGCTCCGAAGCCTCTCGTCCGGTTTAGCAGTCACAGAAGAATGTTCTCATGTATTACTGCGTAGTGTAAGGTCCTTGCAGCTCAACTGGTGCTCCTTCAAGTTAATTAATTTATATAGTATGATGTTAATGAATTGAAGATCCATTATGATGGTTGCAATTGTTCAAGTGTAGATGTATATATATTAATTTGCTATGTTTCTTTCAAGAAGCTAAATTTGTCTGAGTGGTGTGTAATCATAAAAAGATAGCCTTGAATAATTTTGTTGACATTGTTCAAGTTTCTTCCTATCGTTTTGAAGCTCTTTTCTTTTCTAGCTAAGGTACGTATGAACATATGTTGGAATACAGCTTCTCTCCACGGGTTGTATCAATTATGAAATTAGAAAGAAAATGATTATACGAATTATGAAAAATAATCCTTTTATTTAACAGATGATAGAATATATGTGGATAATATATTTATATATGCATGTATGCAAGAAAATGTATATTATTGTAATTTTCTTAATCTGTTTTAGAACATTTTACTTCGATCAATTAAAGTTGCCTTAAAGGGCGTTTTGGGAGTGGCTCAGCTGGTAAAATGGAATTGACCGAGGATGGCTAATAATTAAAGTTCTGAATAATTGTCCAAAGATGAACGCTTTAAGATATTATCGTGCAGACAAAGGCAAAAGCCAGAAAAATAGTTTAAACGGAAAGTCAAAAGGAGATAAATATTTTGTAGTACTCCTCTAGTCCTATTCATAGGGCAGAGAGAGAAGGTATTTTTTATCTTATTTACAGGACACTGAAAGAAATTTTTTATATAGATGTATAATTTTACCCCTCATTTATTATTGTGTTGATTTTGTTATATGAGGTATAATGTATATTAAATTGGAATAAAGTTGAAAAGTCATTAAATTTTAAATGAGAGTTAATGAAGTTTAAGATTTTCTTTAATCTGTGTGAAACATACTGAAAGTGCCTTATAAATAAGACCAGAGGAGTATAATATATGCGGTCATGTTACTTTATTTTGGAAAAGGGCATAAAACACTCTGGTAAAAAGTTATTGGATGATTAATTATTTTATTGGATTACCATTAAATTTTGTAAAAATGATTATGCAGTTTCATATAAGTAATTAAATCATAAAAAAGTTTTACGGTAAGTCAGTAATATATGTTGTGTATGCAAAGGGGTGTGTCAAAAGTGAAGTCCCACATTGCCCAAGAGAGAGGGAGCTCAAGTGTATAAATACTATCACACTTTATTGGGCTTGTAAATGGGCTAGAGGAGAAGGAGGGTCTCGCGCACACAACAACAGCCCACCAGGAGGGAAACGCAGTTGAAAACTAGCGATTTCCCCCTGCGCGTGAATTAGAACAGTACCGGGCACCTTTTGTAAATCACTTTTGCAAAATTAAACTATAAAATAGTGTTAGGAGAGCTTATCAGAAAACCCTTCTTTTGACCGTTTATTTTTGTAACAGCTGAAGGTTATTGAATGTTGGGAGTTTTCGAACCGTCATTGATTCTCCATTAATCCTCAAACCGTTTCTCATGGATTAATGCCTGGTAACGTCTGACATTTATTTCTTAAACGTACCCAACGTTCATAACCGACGGTATAATTACAGGTTAATGCAATAACGTATGAAACTGATAAGTTAATCGTGTTTATGATGGTGCCCAACGGTTAGGTCCTCGAGGCCTATATAAAACGGTCCAGGATAGTGTGTTCTGCACCCCGCTCTTGAGCTTTCGAGCATCTGTTCCTCCTCTGCATTTCCCTTCTTCCCTCTTTGTGTTTCTGTGGTGCTGGGTTACTGTATTTTTCTACTGTTCTGTCACCCTGTTTCCTGCAGGAAGGGTTCGTTTAATCCTGGGGAGTGCCGCACTCACATTTACCTACGGTTGCGGAATAACTCTTAAGGACAGTGTCTGCCGGCACGACTCGGACCTAGCTGATACACAACTCCAGTTTTCTCTACAATATAAACATGTTATCATTTCTTAGGTAAAAAATTGTCACTTTATTGTGAAATTTTTAATGATTAAATTGTGTATTTGAACTGCACAGTAATTTTTTGAAAAAGAATTTCCCACCAGTCGGACGGAGATTAAAAAGGGCATTAATTTCCACGACATTTTGAACAAACTCATGAGAAGCAAGTGGTATGCGCTTGAAAAGTATTGATGCGATTTAGATTTTAAATGTAGGACTCATTATATTATAAAATGAATTTTATATTTAGGATAATAATATTTTTCATTATTTTGATCCAAAAAAATTCCACTATGTTGCTTTAAGAAAAATAATGAAGAAATGAAGTCATGTTAAATAATTAACTTTTTTTATGGTCATACAACAATGTTAGCTAGCATGCTTTATAGCTTATACTAATATCACACTAATTGAATAAAAACACAAAATATTCATTTTAAATATACATACTGAACTGGATTAATTATACGGGGACGAAACACTTGTTGACAATAATTAGTTACTGTAGGTTTGTCCATTCCAAGGTCGTAATTCAAATGATAACGCAATTGACAGCGCAATGGAACATAATAACGTCATTTAATGTTAAATATATGTCTTCTTAATTACGTTAGCACTCACGTAATCAGATGATTTTATTATACCCTTGGATTTTCATTATTATTTTTTTGTTTCCTTTGATTTCCAACGCTGATCCAACCTTCTAAGAGGGTAAGAGGCCGCTAGCGTGCGTGTGTAAAAGAGTGTAACCTTGGATTTTTGTCATTCATCCATTCATAAAATGCCAAGGAAGAGATGATTTTTTTTTAATTGTAATTAATTATAAGAAAACTAATCCTTTCGTTCAATGCAGTGTAAATTATATTATAAAATAAACTTTACATTTAAGACTAAGAGTATTTTATAGGTACTTATAATTTTTCTCAAATTTTAAGTTGGAATTTATAATGGACTAACATTGCTAATAGAGTAAAGTTTAAACAATTTAATCAAGAAAGAAATGATCCTTAATATAAGAGCTAGTTGACTAATTTGAGTAGATTAAGAAAATTAGTTAAGTTAGTTATTTGTAATAAATGAGATTATAGAAGTGTAATTTTTTTATTCATTCAAATGAGATTTGAATTAAAGATTCAAAAATTAAGAAGACCATATAAAAATTTAAATTTATTTATTTATTTCTCTATTTAAGCCCTCAATTAACGTATTATTTAATTATGATATTTTCTATTTAATTCAATACATTCAAACCCCAATTAAGATATCATTTAAACTCAAAATTAATTATTAATTCCTTCATTTGACTCTCAAATTGAAATCCCATTTAATAATGATACTCTTCATTTAATTCAATATACATAAATCCCAATCAAAATATTATTCAAATCTTATCAATTAAATATATTCGGATGCCTTCATGTTATACCCGACCCGTTTTAAAACGAACTGGGTATTACAAGTTTTCAAGAATATAATTGATACCAAATTAAAAATTAAGAAAAATATAAATACATGTAACAGAGTAAATTGTGGTAAGATATTTAAGATCAAATTAGATCTTAGGATAAGAGGTAATAATTTTTTTCATGATATTCACGACAAAATCGCGCAACATAGTCGGTCATATGCATTTTGGCTGACCATAATAATGGGCATCATGGGTTGAAAATTCCCTTTTAACAATTAGAAGTGTTTTACATTCTTTCCCACAGAGTAACAACTCAAGTTTTGAGTTTTTGCTGGAAAAGATACTCATATTTAATACTACTTTCGATTTTAATTATAAGAGCTTGTTGACTAATCTGAGAAGATTAAATAAAGAAGTTAAGTTTGTTATTTGTAATAAATATGTGTTGTTTTTCCTAAAATATCCTTACTAATCAAGTGTATTGGCTAGAACTATCATTGTTAGAATGACTATTTTGAAAAAAAGAAGCATAAATATTAGAGACAAAGTGGATTAGAGTCTTATATTTAGGACCAAAATAAAATCAAATAAGATTTTATATGAAGGACCGGACGTAATATTAACAATGTCTTGAATATTGCCTCAGAAAAAGACTTCTGCAGTCCAACAGGAAGCATAATTAAAGGGGAAAAAGATAGAAAAATGCACCTCAAACTCCAAAAGCCCAGAAACGTCCGCCCAATTCCACAAATCCCATTTTGGTACCATGAGACCAAATTGGGATTATTATGTGAAAGGAAAAGACCACATTGCCCTTCATTTTAAATATTATTTTTAAAATATCACAGCCCCTACTGGCCGGCCGGTCACCGGACCTCCGGCAGCGGCGGTCACCGGAGCTCCGGCGACCAGCCGACAATTGGTCACCGGAGCTCCGGCGGTCGGAATTTTTTTTTTTTGAAAATTTTTACAACTTCAATATAACGGTTAACAACTTTTGTAATGCTATTCACAACTTCAGTATAGCAATTAATAACAGCTTTTCTGGGAAATTCAACAAACTCCGGCGACAGGAAACAATTATTTTGAAAATTTTTACAACTTCAATATAACCGTTAACAACTTTTGTAATGCCATTCACAACTTCAATATAGCAATTAACAACAGCTTTTCTGGGAAATTCAACAAACTCCGGCGACCGGAAATAATTTTTTTGAAAATTTTTACAACTTCAGTATAGCGGTTAACAACTTTTGTAACCCTATTAACAACTTCAATATAGCGGTTAACAACAACAAACTCAAGCGACCGGAAACAATTTTTTTGAAAATTTTTACAATTTCAATATAACGGTTAACAACTTTTGTAAGCCTATGAACAACTTCAGTATAGTGGTTAACAACAGGTTTTTGAGTTTGTTAAAGGCATTACTGAAGTTATAAAAAAGCCACTTTTTGAATTTAAAACTTGTTGTTAACTGCTATATCAAAGTTATTAACCGTTATATTATAGTTGTAAAAATTTTCAAAAAAACGTAATTGTGAACGTTATACTGAAGTTGAAAATTTTTACAACTCCAATATAACCGTTAACAACTTTTGTAATGCCATTCACAACTTCAATATAGCAATTAACAACAGTTTTTTCTGGGAAATTCAACAAACTCCGGCGATCGGAAACAATTTTTTTGAAAATTTTTACAACTTCAGTATAGCGGTTAACAACAGGTTTTTCAGTTTGTTAAATGCATTACTGAAGTTATAAAAATGTCACTTTTTGAATTTAAAAACTTGTTGTTAACTGCTATATCAAAGTTGTTAACCGTTATATTGGAGTTGTAAAAATTTTCAAAAAAACGTAATTGTGAACGTTATACTGAAGTTGAAAATTTTTATAACTCCAATATAACCGTTAACAACTTTTGTAATGCCATTCACAACTTCAATATAGCAATTAACAATAGCTTTTCAGGGAAATTCAACAAACTCCGGCGATCGGAAACAATTTTTTTGAAAATTTTTACAACTTCAGTATAGCGGTTAACAACTTTTGTAACCCTATTAACAACTTTAATATAGCGGTTAACAACAGGTTTTTGAGTTTGTTAAAGGCATTACTGAAGTTATAAAAATGTCACTTTTTGAATTTAAAAACTTGTTGTTAACTGCTATATCAAAGTTGTTAACCGTTATATTGGAGTTGTAAAAATTTTCAAAAAAACGTAATTGTGAACGTTATACTGAAGTTGAAAATTTTTACAACTCCAATATAACCGTTAACAACTTTTGTAATGCCATTCACAACTTCAATATAGCAATTAACAACAGCTTTTCTGGGAAATTCAACAAACTCCGGCAACCGGAAACAATTTTTTTGAAAATTTTTACAACTTCAGCATAGCGGTTAACAACTTTTGTAACCCTATTAACAACTTCAGTATAGCGGTTAACAACAGGTTTTTTCAACCGCTATATTGAAGTTGTTAATAGGGTTACAAAAGTTGTTAACCGCTATACTGAAGTTGTAAAAAATTTTTAAAAAATTGTTTCCGGTCGCCGGAGTTTGTTGAATTTCCCAGAAAAGCTGTTGTTAATTGCTATATTGAAGTTGTGAATGGCATTACAAAAGTTGTTAACGGTTATATTGAAGTTGTAAAAATTTTCAAAAAAATTGTTTCCTGTCGCCGGAGTTTGTTGAATTTCCCAGAAAAGCTGTTGTTAATTACTATATTGAAGTTGTGAATGGCATTACAAAAGTTGTTAACGGTTATATTGGAGTTGTAAAAATTTTCAAAATAATTGTTTTCGGTCGCCGGAGTTTGTTGAATTTTCCAGAAAAGCTGTTGTTAATTGCTATACTGAAGTTGTGAATAGCATTACAAAAGTTGTTAACCGTTATATTGAAGTTGTAAAAATTTTCAAAAAAAAAAATTCCGACCACTGGAGCTCCGGTGACCAATTGTCGGCTGGTCGCCGGAGCTCCGATGACCGCCGTTGCCGGAGGTCCGGTGACCGGCCGGCCAGTAGGGTCTGTGATATTTTAAAAATAATATTTAAAATGAAGGGCAATGTGGTCTTTTCCTTTCACATAATAATCCCAATTTGGTCTCATGGTACCAAAATGGGATTTGTGGAATTGGACAGACGTTTCTGGGCTTTTAGAGTTGGAGGTGCATTTTTCTGTCTTTTTCCCTAATTAAAGTTGGGATTTTAATTACTCAGACCAGGATGACGTGGCATATTCCAGCTTTTCAAGTGGAAATGAACGTGCCGTGAAGACTTGGTAAAGTCCTCCATTGTTTTTTTTTTTTTGTACATATTTACAAATTGCATTTGAACAGACGAAGTGGATTTCCATGATGGCCTTTGGCCTGTATAGCAATCTCAGGAGTGCTCTTGTGTGTGTGTGTGGGGGTCGTGTGAATGGCATGGAGAATTATAATACCGGGTTACGTACACCTACAAAAGTCCTTATAGTATAATTTATTGTACAACTTACTCTATAAATTAGATTTTATATTTAACATTAGAAGTGGATATAAAAACTAATTTGTTACAACTTACATTATAAACTAAGTACAACTTACATTATAAACTAAGTTTTATGTTTAGGGGTAGTGTCATGTTTGGAATTTGTGTGAAGATTTTAAAGTGGTCCTGGCGCCAATTTTTTTCCCCCAAGTTTTTATGAAAAACCTGACAAAATTATTATACGCGTGAATTTTTTTTTTTAAATATCGGGCAAGATTTTTCTGACGTGACGCAATTTTGCACTTCATTTGGTGTGAAGAGAAACAAAGGAATAAAAATTTATAATAAAAATAATTTTAATCTTAGCATTAAAAGCAGTTTTTTAAATTAATTAAAAATTAAACAATAAAACTTCTCTATCTTATTTTTATCACTACTTTTGATTTTTAATATAAGAACTAATTTGATTTTTAATTTAATTCTAAATATAAGACATCAATCTACTTTGTTTTTTATATTTATTTATTTTTTTAAAATAGTTTTTATAGTAATTATATATATTAAATGTTGCATTACATGATAATTCTAATTAATACACATAATTAATAAAAATATTTAAAAAATATTTATTTATTATAAATAATTAATTTTTAGTTCTTACTATTAAAGACGTGCTGTAATATTATTATTTTTTTGAACGGGGGCTCGGGTCCCGAACGGGGCCACGGCCTCTGCCCTTTAAAAAGGGAGTGACGCATGACGATGGCATTTCCATTTGAACTTTGGAGCAAACAGTTGCGACAATTTTTCGCGCCAAATCAGAGAGCCGGTGACATCTTGGAAGAAACGAATGGTGCAGGTGTGCTTCATTCTGGACCTGCGGAGCTTGGCTCCTCCATTGCTTAGAGACCTGAAGCAGGTACTACAAAAGAAGCTGCTCTCCCAGACTCCATCTCAAAGTGCTTTTCTGCTTTAGTGCTCAAGCATCTCATAATCGACTGTACGAACAAATCAATAGGATTTTCTCTAATACTTTAATGGTCTGAATTTCAATTCTCAGTCATTGCTTCAACTTTCTAACTTCTACGCCGTTTCAAATACTTCCTCATCGCCTCGTCGGAAATCGAACTCTCCCTCAGATAAGATCGGTCTGTGCTACGTCTTTAAAAATCGATTATCTTCTGCTGACGAGGTATTGGTTCCGTTGTACAAGTTATAATTATTTTCTTTTATGAACATCCGATTTGAACTATTAATTCGAAGTACGCAATACATGGTTCCTGCGATCCGTATGAGCGAGAGAGTGAATCTGCGTGTAACGCAGCTGAAGGTCGCCTATAATCCCAGAGGAAGCTTCAATCTACACGATTTCCACCATGCTGTTAACAGCTTGCCCTCCGATGCCTTCCTGCCTGATAATGATAACAATTACGGTGCGTTCTCTCTCTTTATATCTCTGGTTTGAAGAAACGCGATGATTACTTGGCTGATTATTTTCAGATGTAATGCTTTCAACTGTTTTGAGTGATCAAGTATTGTACTCCTGGCAAGGTAAAGATATTGAGAGAAAAGCGATAGTCATAACTTCATTCTTGCCTGAAGATGTAGATTCTACAATGCAAGAATGCCTCATGGTGGGTCAGTGATTGCATGAATTAAGTTAAATGGTAATGGAAATAATTCCTTTTGTCTAGCAATCCAACGGCTGTTCTGTCTTTTTCCAGGATGCTGCAGATAGATGTGTTTCGGTTGATTTTGCAGTATTTCAGCAGAAGTCAAGCCATCTAACTGATACGCGTGAAAACATAAACAACTTCCGTCGTTGCATTTCTCATATTGAGAACTGCTCATTCCAGACTTACATCCCTGGTTAAGTACTCTGTCAACATCTAAAATCTGTTATTGCTTTTTGGATTTTGACAACTAATCTTTATATTTTTTCGATACTGAAAGGAAAAAAAGAGAGAGAGAAGGTACAAGTCTCTTGTTGAAGTGCTTAATTGTTAATATTTGAGTCTGAAATTTCTGGAAAGCTTATAAATGATTGCAGATTTCAGAGTAATGCACAGTCTTGTTAAAAGATGGCTTCAGGTTTTACAAGATGACACGGAGGAGCCACTCCAAGCACGCCTCGTTTTTAAAGAAAATCTATTAGATTCTGTGAACCACATATTTTGTAACCTGTATGCAGCTGCCATTCCAATCACCAATGGCTTTAGTCAATGTCAGGTAATGTGGTACTCACAATATTCTTCCTCATTAACTAATCACTCCAATTTTTGGCTAATGTATAAATCCATTCGTGTTCAAAGTAGCATGTCTGTGTTGGTTTTTTGAACTAAGACACACACGTAGTTACCTGAATAAATTTGGACATACTAATGTATAAATTCATTCAAGTGACTTAATTCTTTCACTTTCAGAAATTGCCTTAAGTGATTCCTTCAATGGCGGTAATTTTTTCCTAGATTCTTGGAGCACTCCCTTTTTTTAATAACTCTCTTATTTTCCTCAAATGGACAAATCCACGGATTGTTCTAGGAACTCATTTCTAGACCATTGATGTTCTCCATATTTCATAAAGTTGGTCTTAACTCTTAGGAACATTTTTATCAAGAGTAATTTTAGATTTTCACAGACTTTTATGCTTGCCAGTTTATTAGACATAATATGTTAAGGATTTACAATTGATCTCACGCTATAAAAGATGCAAGATCAGCATAATACTAAATAAATATTTTATCATATCTAGACGATATACATTGCATTTAAGCCATTGAGTATGCATATACTCGGAGCATTTTACTGCTAAATTTTGTATTTCCATCTATCCAGAGGAAAATTAATTCCGATGATTATATTTTCTTTTACTTTAGGCAGATTAAGGACACTATACTTTTCATATCTTCAATGAGATGAGCTCCATGTTCTAGTACAAACAGCCATAGCTAGAGCATAAGGGTAAAGATGTCTTGATAATCTCATAGAATCTAGTTAATGTACATTTTGTATTGTTACTTTCATTGTTGGGCTGGTTTTAAAATAATTATGCCAATTAATTATTCTGCATCATTTATCTTGAAATTACATATAATTCAGCCGCTATATCATTTTGATTTTTTTAAGGTGAAAAAGAGAAGCATTAATTATGGGAATCTTATAGACATGCAGATGTCATGGCATGCTGTTAGGAGATGCTGAAACAACCAAGTTCAACAGAATTTCTTGTCCAGTCACAGGCCGCAATCTGGAAGCATATGATGTTGTTGAAAATTCTGTTCGGGTTGGGGACAATACAGTTCTGTTTCTTCCATCATTCCATTGTTCCCTGAAGCTTCCGCAAATTAATTCACGAATTGACGTAGCAGTTATCAAGAGGACAAGCTTGGCTTCTGTTAATGAAGGTAAATATAGCCTTTGGCATTTTATACACATCTTCAGAATCAGAGCATTGTTCTGCAAGGGTGCGTGTTTTCTATTTAAAGAAAACTGCAATATCCCCGTGGAGCGGTTGATGAAGGTACTTCGTCTGATAGACTGATTGAACAAACACTATGGTCTTTCTAGAAATCAAAGTAATATAAATTACATGATATATATCCTGTTCGAAGGGAGTTATGTCTGATTCACTGGAAACGAAGAAAATATCTTTCAATGGGTTTCCGACAAATTTATTCCTAGTATTTTGGCATCCCTGATATTTTTATTCTAAATGCCTTTGTGGCTTACCATCTATTTACCCTCAAGCAATGCTAGTTTTGCACTTTAATGCAGGTCTGATAATGGGGGCTTCCTTCTTTGTGGTTCCATTCCTCTGTCATGTGATTGAATCTACTTCAGATGATGCTGACCAGTCGGACTTGAATTCTCTAGGTGTGTACTAATCCTCAATTGAATTCCCTCTTGAATTCCAATTTAACAATGTTGGCATCACACGAGGGCGTGACATAGTTGTCCGAATTTTTCTTCTCCAATAACCAATATACGTTTGTCAAAAGTTTTTCACAAGATATAAGTTTCTTCCATTATTTTAATTATAGCTATAATTTGACAGTTTTTCAAGGCCTTTCTAGTGTTCTGCACTCGATGGACCAAGGTTTGATATGCTCTTCGAATAGTGATTTAGAAACAATGACAGAGGTTCCTTTCCGCTGCTATTACATTCTGCAGCCATCAGATAACGGGCCAATGCTCCTTAGGGTAATCACTAGGCCTCTCTTGCTCTCAATAATTGTTTCATGATATCTTTGATAGCATATATACTGTATGGCTCATATACCCTGATGACGTTTTGTTGTCCCCTTTTAGATCCGTGTAAGTGTAACCAATGTCCATAAACATGCAGCGTCTTGCAGGTGCAGAAGAAGTATTACGAGTTCCTGATAATCGATTGGTTAGCTCATCCGCCAATAAGGAAATTGAGAATTCTGTTGAAGCCTGTTTGTTGAAGGTTCGATTTAAACATTTTTAAGATGTCTGTCTGCCCCCCACCCCGCCCCAACACAAGCATTTTCTTTGCTTTCCTTTTCCAATGACAGTTCGATGCACACATATACCATGCGATATTTTTGGTCCAAAAAAGAAACCGCAATGTAATATCGACGTTATTCCACCAAGATCCACTGTAGAGTGTCTGTGTCTAAGGCGGGAAATTGCATTCTGCCTTCTTTTATTTTTATTTTTCATGTTCCGCTGGGAGCTTCATGTGTGTGTGTGTGTGGGTGAACTTATCTAGAGGAATTTTGGTTGTTCTGTGAGTTTTTGAATCTCACATAGCGGGACCAAGGTCTTTTTTAATTATCGGAGTCCTGGAATGGTGCATTTATCACTTTCTGCTAATTACTGATGGAATTAACTAAACAAAACAATACCTATTGAGCTTGAATTATACTAGTATTGATTATGTTCCTAGAAATTTGTAACGTGTCAGGAAAATTATGCATGTAGATTGATCTAGCGCACTATGATCCCTTGCTGCATGAAAGAGGCTTTCATCAAAAGCTAAACTTGCTTGTCCGAGAAAGCTTGCAGTTCGGGTTAGTGAATTTCTCCATCCATTTTGACATGTGCCAGCTAATGAGCTTAAAAATGCACTTGAACATGAATGGCCTCTTAAAAAAACAGTCTTTTCTTCTTAAGAAAATAATAAAAATAAGAAGAATCAAAGGCCTGCATTTAAGAGCAAATGCTGCCCGGTATAAAAACAGATAATATATTTTCTGTGGATGGACATTTACTGCATTGTTAAAGAATTGAACTCGCATTCGCAACTTTTCCGAAGAAAAAGAAGGCCTAACACCATTATACGCAAATTCTTTCACACAGTGCTATTGATATTTATCATTATCAATCATTGTAGTGTGTAGCGAAACCAGTTCCTCAACTAAATATTCTCAGTTCCCTCCACATTCATTGATTGTATTCTATTGTAGGTCAATATTTCCTAAAGAGGGAGACGCAGCCGTTGATGCAAACTCAGGTGAAAAACCATCTTTAGAAATGACTGGGAAAGCAGAAACAACCTTATTTGTGGACGGAAAATGCTCGGCATGGGATCTTACAACCCAAGAAGACAATACCATCGCCTGTATTACTAAAGAATGGGAGCAGTTGGTCGTAAACGAGGACCCTAATAAGATGGATTCTCCATCTTGTATGCGCAAACCCAAGTTGGATAAAAATTTGTTTCGACACGTGATTGTAATAGGCAGCTAGATAGAGAAACTTCGAGGATTTTAGAGAGATTGGAGGTTCCAAGACCACTAAAAGCAAAGTCGGTGTCTCCTGTTTCAAATACAACCATGATGAATACAAGTGTGCCCACAAAGAAACCTCTCATACCATTCCACCAGCCAGTTCAAGCTACAGAATCAGTCTCTATTGGCAGCCAGCTAATGAAACCAAATTTCCAAAGGCTGAAAAGGAAACATAAATGAAAAGAAGGTTGCCGCCCATGCGTTGCTTGAATAAAAATGATTCAGAAGTCAATAAGGTCAGCACGCATTGCTCTTTTTCTCTTTTAAATTTCACGTTTCAAATTATTTTCTGGACAAATTTTGTGTCGGTCGCTGCACTTATGGATCTGTTTTACTAAATGCTAGAGGTGTGAAGGTTCTTGATAATTTCAGTTCATTTGTTTATTAAAATATACTACAGATTTAGTTTAAGAGTTGAATTCTTTCTTGAGATAATTTTGGGTGTAGAAGCAGCAATATTAGATGGGGTTGAACAGTAATGAAAATCTTATGACAAATTATTTGTAAAAGACAAGTATATCAATCTAATTATTAAAAAAAACGTGGAATGCGGTCATAAATTTGGCCATAAAATATAAATGGAAATAACAAAGCTCCTTTATGATTAATATTTTTTTTTTGGGGTACCTTTAATTCCACTCTTCTTGATAGGTTAGGTTCGGTAGTATGTTTGACTTCTTTGCTTAGACGATTGGCAGGTGGGCCATTTTAGTTTTGTAAGGTAGTAGAAATGCATCATACGTGCAAAGCATAGCGGTTGTTGTGGATAGAACTGAGGGTGACGTCAACACGTTTCTTTGGTTTTGTTTTTGTTTTTTTTTTTTTTTTTTTGCCCCAACGGAAACACCCCAAAAGAAGAGTACAAGGAAAACCATTTGCCAATTGAATCCACGGCAACAGTATGAGGAAGCTTTGCGTGCACACGCGCACAAACATTATGGGTCTATAAAGCGTGTTTGGTTGGAGCCTCTAAATTGAAAGGTCTGGATAGGAATACTTTGGAAGAACTCGCTTTCTATGAGAGATAAACCCAAGAAAGGAATGAGTACTTGCTCAAATCTGATTGAGGAAGACAAAGGGGTTTACCAATAAACTGACAACGAGTGCAGATAAGCATCGTAGAATTTATTTCTTTCAAGTAGTTAGAGGAAAATTCCATTCTAATTGTAAATATATTACTTATATGTAAAATAAAATCCTTAATCTGGTTCGAAAAGAAATTTAATTTGGACAATTAAGATGTGACCATAATTATAATTAAAAATACAAAATAAGTACTATGTTGGATCTAACATTCAAGCAACACTCTTCATCTAGATTCGGGAATTAATTATTAATTTATTAACTAATTCCCAATCACAAGCAGAGGATATCATTTGATAGCCTTAGATGACGAAAAAAGACCTTAGTCGGGTATATTCCGATTGCTATATGCTCCGTATCCGATTTCGCCCAACCCCTTGTTCTCTTTGCAGGGACTCCAAGCCTCCAATCTCTTTCGCAGAATTGCTATTTGGAATTGTTTCCGTAGTACTGTAGTGACAGCACCCACATACGCATCACGCTGACGCACTGATGCCATAGTCATCCAACCACGCACCTTTTGATTTAGGCGGCCAACTCACAGCTTTGTTTATTAATCCCACATCTTCCTTGGTTACAATATTATGATAAAGATTACAAAGAAATATACACCATCACAAAAAACTGTACACTGAGGTAGTAGCCCATCATCAAGGAGAAGGACCAGATCATTCCCACAGCTCTCTTTTAGAAATTCTCTTTATGGAAGTCGAATTTCGTGGTTGTCTTGTGAGAGAAATCCGAAGCTAATTGGCGAAGCTCTACGGTGAGCGCCTGAATTCCACAGTAAAACACCCCTGCATGAAGCGTGTTTTTGTTAGTTCGCAGACATCAATCCTTTTGGATGTTACTTTCTGCGCTATCTATCTTTGCTTTCTAGCACTTCAGTAATATAATAATAAAAAATTATGACTCCGCGGAGATAAAGCTGCTTTGATTAAACAAAAGGATCTTTGGAAAAAGGCGAAAAAGGTATGAAATTATTGAAGTATTATTAATTAAAGACTTCGACATTGTGAAAAGAAGCTTTGGTTAAAGATGTGGGAACTCACCAACCCGGGCTTGTGGATGAGCAAGCGCAATGCGCTTGTACACACTACGCCAATTGGGTTTGGCAAAGTGAGTCATGACGCGAGTGCCAGAGACAATGTCCACGCCATTCTTTGCGTGGTTTAGAGACTGTAGCATAGCGATAAGAGCAGAGCGTGCGTCACCCTCTTCATAGACACTGGTGCAGTAATTGTGGAGCTCAATCACTCCACGATGGTCTGCTTCAGCTGCCTCATTCATTACCCCTTTGAACCAGTCAAAAGAACCTTGTTCTCTAGTCACCCAGTAGAAGTAGGCCTTTCTAGTTTTGAACTCACTGTGCCCAGCTTTCCTGTGTTGGGATTTGCCACTTGCTCCTTCCTCTAACGCCATCTCCTCCTCTTCTTCCATCGCCTTGTAGTTATTAACTATGTCCTTCACTATACTGATCATTGGGGTAGCTCCAATTCCTAATCCCACTAGTAAAACCACCTCATACTTCTGATAGTCTTGAGCTGGTGCTCCATATGGTCCATCAATCAGAACTTTAGGAAGAGAGCTGCGTATTGTAGTCATAAATAAAATAGAACCTGTCAAGTCTACAAAAATCTTCAATGCTTAGTAATAGCGTGTGGAAGCTTAAATTTTAAATGGCTTCAGTAGGTTTCACTAATCAAGCTACTGAACCTAACTTAAATTAGCTTGCATGATTGAGTGGGATGACTACTTAGTGCTTACCCTTTCATGCCAAAAAATTCAACTGGCATCTTTATCACCTGGGTTGCGTAAATGTCTGGATTACAATGATATGGTTATAATATTGTTTTGGCCACTAAGGTATAAAGGTGGTCCCGGGAATGCATGCAAGATCAGTGCTACCCAAAAAGCACAACCAACCAAATTTGGATCTTTTAGAAGCAGAATATGCTTAAACCAGTAATCGAGTTCAAACTAAAAGTAGAATTGGATAGGAGCAATCCATCCACAGCTTCAATTGTTGGGTTCATTATCCTAAGTGTGACCGCGAATTCCAGTTCGTGAGTTGACAAGTGAAAGCACAATACTTTCACCAGCACGCCACATTTTCACTATCCTAGTTTCAATAGATCTTTTGTGCAATTCCAGACAATAGTTTATGCTTTTGAGCTGTAATGTAACTATCTAACAGGGACTACTTTTTTATAGAAATGAATACTTTGGGGAAGTAAATTTTCTCTCTCGAGACATGCCTTACCTTGGAATGCTATCTCCTTGCATGCATTCAGCTCTTAGAAGTCCACTCTTCCCATCTGGGGGAGGTCGGCATGCCTAAAAGGAACCAAAGCAAGAACTTGAATAATTATAGAAATTTTCACTCAAGAAAAAGCATTGAAACCAGACATCACCTCTGAGAATTTTGCTTTTAGGCTCCGAGTCCAGTCACCTGCTGTTCGAATATGAACACTGAGGTAGTCATCACCGGGGGCTGAGGTTATGGAGAACGGATGCCTGAAATCCAATAGCACTTGAGGAATTAGAGTCTGGGAAAACAAACAATAGGGAAAGGGAAATGGAAAGTGGAAGTGATCCTAACCCCTTGGGGGTCTCAGACTATGTTTTCTTCAGTACATACCATTCAAACGGAGATACAGCAGCACAATTGACAAACATGAATTGTCCACTCCTGTATCTAAACCCATGAGGCTTTGACATGTAAATTGCTAACACATTTCCAGGATAAACAGCCACCTTCAAGTTTGGCATTGAAATTGCAGTGAGACAATATCTCTAAATCTTTTACTCATAGGCTTAGCCAAAAGAAAGGCCTCATTTTCTTTAGGAGTAACTGGATTTTCAATATTTGATAATTACCTTTAATATTCTCACAGGCTTGATGCTCGATCTGAGTGCTCTAATCAACCTTTCCAATACATAGATGATTATAGGAATAGCCAAATACATCCAGGTCTACAAAACACACGAAATGATTAAATTCTGTGTAAAAATCAGTTAACGAAGATAAAGGTGGAAGGGTTGAGTTGACTCAAGGTGCTAACCGTTTTCTTGTACCATTTCTTGGTCAGGTAAAGTTTCACTCCATGCACTATCAACATGGCATATACAATGACAAAGAGGTGATGGGAATACCAAAAGGCATTGAAACCGGTGAGCTTGTCAAGGGGTTTGGGTAGCTTCACTTTGCCTCTCCTGAACCAAGGGGTGGCCAGGGTGAATGCTATTGCCATTAGCACTACCATTATAATCCCTGTCACTCCTTCCCATGATTTGACAAAATGCCAATAACTAGCGGGTTTACGTCCAAAATATTGCGCCACCAACATGTACTTTTCATCACTTGCATCAAGAATGCGAGGGAAATCACAAGTAAGATGATAAATAGCATGTATACCAACGCCAATTGTTACTCCCACGGCTATCACCTGCAAAACACACCAATTTTTAACCAGAAGAAGAATGCATGCTCCTTATTGCCTGGTGAAATTGTGAAACATGCTAATTATCTTTTTTCCCCCTTATTCTAGCCACTCTATTTTGTTGTCTGAAAGGAATGGGCAGCGCTTCAAATTACCTTGTGGAAGTTGAGATTATCATCAAAAGGAACTACAACACCTAGCCTCGTCTTATTCCTGATCCAGGTGACGGTGTTTCGGCAAACAGGTAACAAAATAAGAGCCATGTTCAATTTTAGAGTCTCCGCTGCACCTTTCGCCATGCATACACAATGGCCCATTACGTTATACACGTCCTCCCTTTCTCGATACTGCATGTACTTGTAGACAAATAAACCCGCCATCACACCCATCCACAGTGCCAATACCCAAGCTCTCTGCCAGTTATCCTGTAAAA